CGGCCGAAATGAGACAGCGTAACAGCGTGACGTCCGACCTGACAGTACTATTAAGAGCAATATCGTAGCCGGCCTGTCAGTTCGGAGAATAAATGGAGCAGCGACGGAACTGCTCGAGCTGAAAATGAATTTCCGGATGCGGCGCTAATCTTATCTCCGACGGAGAATTCACCCCGGCGAAACGTTTCGCCTTTCTTTATCCCCGCGGAGTAAAGCCGAGTAAATCTAGCTACCCGGCATCAAAAAGAACATCAACGCGCTAAAACATAAACGTATTATTAATCCGATAGCTTGTATATTTTATAGAACTTGATACTCCTTCCCGTTGCTCATTGCGAAGCTTCTTCCGACCCGTTTCCTTACAGATGGGGAAGGCGGAGAATCGTTTCTTAAACGTCGGCGATATTAAAACGTCGAACAAAGGTATCAGACGGTTCTTGATTTAACTGAATTCTCTATTGTTTCTGGGTTAACTGAATATTAACCCTGTCTTCGGTTTGAATGAATGGCAGAAGATATTCCTGGTTTATGTTTGCCTCTGGCTAATCTAATCTTACAAGTGTGCAATTTTCTTCGTCAGATGTCAATTAATTCAGCATTTTTTAAATTAAACTTTGATGTGTAGTTTGAGTTATGTATATCTTAGTATTTTGATTGTAACTAACATTGATAACTGATAACTATTATTATCGTTACGTGACATTTGCTCAAAATAAAAATTTCCCAAGATGAATGTCAGAAACAAAGGCTAAACCAATTTCCTTTAACGCTAAACGAACCGAGCACTTCAACTGACTTCTTGAAATTCCTCTATAACAATCTAGAGTCTATCGAGACTTTATTTATAATCCAGTTTGCGTATTGCTAAATTTCATTGATAATTCTCAGAGAAACACCTGTTATCTTTCTAACACGTTGAATTCTAACCAAATCGGATTACTATAGTTCACTCAATTAAACGACGATCATTTGAAAACATTTCTATATCATAAACAATGCTACCGATTGCGGTGACATTCAGCTAGAGGGACGTGCAATAATAATAATGCGATTCGAACAAATGATTTAATATTATATTCTTCATTTCGAGTACTCGTCTAGAAGCGAAGAAAAGAAATCAGGTCATTTAGTCTAGTACATTCACTGTTAAGAATCTCAACTCCTAAAGAAGATAACAGTCCACTAAACTTCAACACACCCACGTTCGAAACCTTACTTTCATCAGAAACGCATGGAATCCGTCGCCTCGCCTTCCGAGAATCTTCTCCCAGCCGACTCTCGCCCAGACAATTCCCAAAAATTCCAAATCTAATCGATACTAGCAAATAAATTGCTGTAAACCTATCCACCTCGAAATTCGTATTCCCAGCGACGATCCACCATCGCGATCCGGAGCTGTCTGCGCGCAGTATCGTCGAACGCGAGGGAAGCGGAGAGCGCCCCACGAACGCAATTCCGATTCTTCGATGGGGCTCCGGAGGCAAAGCAGAAACTTCGGGCCATTACATCCTCGATTTACTCCGGGATCGGGCGGGGCCGTAATGGCAGGCGCGTCGCCGTCCCCCGTTCCCCGTTCCGGGTGCGTCCCGCCGTTTCGTCGATTTTTATCGTGAGAATCTCCAGCTCGCGCGCGCGTTTTACCGGATGTCACGTAGCTGCCGCGCGCCTCGCGTGATTTATAACTTTCCAGCGGTAGCTTCGCCGGTGCCGGCACTCAAGAACGTGTAAACGAAGTCGGAGTCCATGAATAGCTTGTATTTTTCTGAAACTCCGCGCTCGGGATTCTGGCGGTCTTTGTGGAGCTTCTCTTGAGCCAACTGTTACGTTATAGGAAGATGGGAGTCGACGGCGTGGATAGTTGCTTGCTTGATGTCACGTTTGCTGAATAGGTTTCTTGCTGTGACGTTGTTGACGATTTTAATACATTGTCGAAACGTAAGAGTACTATTTCCGTCTGCCGTCGAGTGGCAACCCTTTGCACTCGAAAGGTGACTCTCACTCACCGCTTGATTTCATGCAGAAAAACTATAAAATTTTATGGTTTATATTATGCTACTTATACCGCGTCAATTTGAGAAATATTGAAATAAAACAGCTTTGTTCCCGGATATACAGTTCGATTTTTCTTCGAGTTAATTTCACAAAATATTTATTAAATATTTCTAGTGGAAAACTGCCGAGTGCAAAGGGTTAAATAAATACTTGTACAACTTCGTTGATATTTCTGGTAAATATAGATAGTTGATTCCTTTTGTGTATGCTTGAAAGTATTTCTATTTGTAATGGAAACGCTCGAAAATATGTTGAGTAATAAATAAATGAATCGAAGGAGACTGATATAAGTTGAAATGAACGAAAATGGCCCGCAGGCAATGTGTTAAGAGGTGTCTCGTTTTTCGGTGTGTATCGTGAGATATTTTTAGTTAAATTGGAACCAATTGTGTTATAAAGTATTTTTATTTCGGATAGAACTTTCGGTTATTTTATCGAGAAATATTTTTATTTCAGTTAGAACTTCCAGTTATATTATCGAAAAATATTTTTACCATTGTGGCTTTTAATGATATTATCGAAAAATTTGTATTTGAATTAAGATGATTGACTATATTATCGTAAAGTATTTCTATTTCAATTATAAGTTCCAGTTAATACCGTAAAGTTTCATTTATTCTGACTGATGTCAATGTTCTATCCCTTTCTTGGAAGAGAGAAGTTACTCTAACACAATTTTTCTATTTGCGAATCTAGATTCTATTTAATACAATTATTTCATTTAAGAATATGACTTCCATTTAACTCAATTGTTTCGTTCGAAAACATCTTGGGGAATTCTATGTTCTAGCTCGATTCAGTACCAATTTTCTACATTAGATCTGATCTAATTCCGTTATTCTCCGATCAGTTCTGTTTCAATGTAAGTTCCATGTTGTTCGCGTATGCAGACACCCAAGTTAGCGATTTCTCCGTGCGCCAACGCCCAAAGTAGGTGTCAGCAAACAACGCCGAAACCCATGAAAAATCTACCGAACCCTGGCTCGGCTGGTTTTATGTAAATTCCGAAGGGCGGAGCTGAAATCCCGCTCTCCCTTTCCCGTCGTTCCTTTTTCAGCGACCGCGGTTCGATTCGATATCGTTAAACAAATGCTGCGCTCGCCGGATATCCTACCGCGGACGCGGCTCTTCTCGGTGATTTATGAATGGCGAGCGATTAATCAGCTTCTGACGTGTTCCGTTTCCGTTTCTCGGTGATCAGTTGGAATTTCTGCGGTACCCGGGGCTCTTCGCGATGCAGTCTTGCCGTATAAATGGTGATTATTGGGTTCCCGTTCCCAGCGGGGGCGTTCCCGGCGACTCGCGAATGATTTGTGAATTAACTAAAGCTTTGTTGATGACTCTAATCGGATGAGCGTTTCGTTAGGAACTCGGAACACGACGAAAACTCCGGAATTCGTTGGAAATTGGAGCATACGGGGATTCGTAAAAACGGGGACGATTAAGAATAAATAATACTTCTGTGATTTATGTATTCAATAGATAATTTATATACTTAATAAATCAATATAAGCATCGGCGAGTGGAAATGCACTCCTGATGTCTCTTTTTGCAATTATTAAAAGTATAACAGATGTTTCTTCGAAATCTCTGGGAAATTCAGAGAGAAATTTCTAATTCTTCTAAATTTAATTCTAGACAATCTAAATTTTCTAATCTCTGAGGAATGATTCAAGAAATTGATTCAACGATATGCAAACTGAATTGTAAATCAGATCCTTAATAGATACTTTTAAAGTTTCCACAGATAAATTTCAAAAATTTTATTTAACTGCCCAGCAGTTCTAATGTCAATTTGAGAGTTCGGCATTGATAGGGAGTTAAAATTAATACGGAATCAATAGAAAATTGGAATTCATAGAGAACTAATGGGAAATTTAAATGAACAGGGAATTAATAGAAAATTGAAATTACTTACGGATACAGGGATATTAGTTTATCGTAGTTTGTTAAGAATTCATGGAAATCGAGCGTCATAAAAGGATAACGTGAAACGCGTCTCCGCATTGATGCATAATTGTGACGCGAAACAATGGACGCGAATGTTTATCCACGGCGCCGCGTACAACTGTACCAGTAATTATGCGTGTGTAATAATATAATTAATAAATAGGATCCTCTTTGCGTTTCATAATGATAATATCGTTTAATTAATTACCTCGGTACGGGATAGTGGTATCGGAACGGTCGCGAGCACGAATCACGCGCGTTAATGTGCGCACGGCGCGCGGTCGGAATATAACTTTGATTTTCGCTTCGGATCGGCGACAATGATTATCAACTGCCTATTAATGCCGCGACAAAATATTTACGAATGCAACCCGATGCTTCGAGACAGGCCGGAATTATAAACGGGACGCGGCGCCCTCGCGTTTATGCATGGGAATCATTGACCCGCGTCGAATGCCCGCTCCGCCCCGTGAAAAATATCTGTAAAATTATCAATTAAAATGGAGCACGTTTGTATTGTTGTTGATTATTAATCGAATCCGCTGCCGCCGACATTCTACTGTAAACATTAGTATTCAGTTCCCAGGCATTAAGCGTCGATATCGAATGAAGCAACATCATAATCAGAAAAATTTGCGAAAGGTATCACCTGCCTTTCATTTAAGCTCATCGAACTACATCGTTTTCACTGATATTTTCAAGTATCATACTAAAGTAATAGAATTAATAAACTTCGACAATTCTGTTTTATATTGATGATACATAATAGCATAAATGAACTAGGCTGCGTAACAGTATAATGAATACGATAATAGAAATGATGACGGTTTTTATTTTCATCAAAGGTTAGTGATCTGTTGAACCAGCAAATTTTCCTTCGACTACTTGCGATAATAAAGTTTTTATTCAAAGAAATAGATAATTTTGCTGTTTACCTATTGATTACCTGAAGATGATTGGTTTTTGCGCTGCTAACCAGGATTTTTCTCGGATTTCAGTGCTGACGGTGCCCGGTTACGACGTCAGGGTGAACAGATCACCGGTGGTAGAAGGCTGCAACGCGGTTTTATCTTGCACCGCACGGGAAGACGTCAAAGAACACCTGACAGTCACTTCCTGGTTCCGCGACGATGCCATTCTTCTACCAGGCAGCACCGACACTGGTGAGTAGTCCGCGTTCCTTCAATTAAATGTTTATTTCAACGAAATTCAAGAATATTCCGATACCATCAAATACTTTAGTCGAATATCATCGAATTCGATTGATTAATATTTCGGAAGAAAGATACATAGACATACAGCGAGGCTGTCCATTTCTTCGCCTATTTTTCAGCTCTGCAGCTGCTTTCCGGACGAATGAATTGCATTTTTGAACTTTCAAACGTATTACTGATTCTCTGAATACTCCCATTTACAGCGGAAGTTATTGGGAAATCAAAATTTCGCGTGACAGAGACTGAATGGTCTAAAAATCAGTGAACCGAACAATATTGAACAATATCGCGCCGAATATGCAAATGAAAATGAATATTCAATTAAACGTTCCGTCGCGCGATATTCGTTAAAGTATTCCAATAGAAGTTTCAATAAAAAGTCATTTTCGAGTGTTTCCCTGGGAATGAGGAACGCGGCGCGTTCATAGATTACCAGCGATGTAAAAGTTTAATTTCGCGTTCGTCGGATTCTTCCGACGTTTCCCCGGAATCGTGTAATCCTCCCGCGAATAAGGGACATTTTTCGTCTCATTACGGGAAACATTTAGCGTTTCGCTTCTCTGTTTGTAAATACGACGGTAAACTGGATAGGAATGCTTATTCAAGCTCCAGTGTTCCATAAAGTATTTCATCAAGTGAGCGACAACACGCTGTCGGGGTATTCCTAAGAAATGAACCTCTTTGAAGCGCACTCGGCGCGCGCTCGAGGAATAGTTGACTCCGCTGTAAACGCGGAATGCGGTATTAATATTGAAATCTTGGCTGCGCGACGCCGTCGACTAGACACATTCAGTGAATCGTCTAAATTTCATAGCAGCCTCCCGACGCAGACGCTTCCTCGGCGCTGACTTTGATCCTCTAAAGCGCGAACGGATCTAAATAAACTTCGAAAAACGTGTTGCTAACTACCTTTCACCGGATCGTATGGAAATCTTTTGCTTATCCAGTTTTACGAAGCGTTTTGCATATTTAGGGGAATTCATCGTTTCATTTTTAATTGTGGTGTAATTGAATATGACTTAAGAAGCAATGACCGACAATCTAAATCACCGACACCTACAGTGAAATTTCTTATTTAATTTTTTATTTAATTTAAGATCCGTAATCTTAAACGCACGTCCACAGCTTCAACAAAGAAACTATTAACACTAGAACTGCCAAGTACTTAAACCGACTGTCCAAGATTTCTCTATGAGAGCCACAAGTGTAGTGATTAAAATATCAATCGACATACACATCAATTTAGGTATCACTAAATTTCCCTAATAATTTCTCAAACAAGTATCTATGCCTTTCCAATAATTATAAAAGAATAAATCGAGAATGGGTCATTTCGACCCAGCGGTTAATTCCAGCTACGAAAGAACCGCTAAAGTTGCAACGCGAAATTAGAACGCTGATCCGCCGAATTAACTGTGTTTGACGAGTATACACGTCATCGTAAAGCTTGACACGATACCAATACTTTCAGCGACGAATTCTTTATTTCTTCACATGAACATGTAATTCTTCTTTGTTCCGCTTCGATCTCTCATTAAAATATACTCTATTCGTCCTGCGTTCGACGAGTGCTCCATTTTTTCATTTCACTGCGCGTTAACTGGTTAAACATGCGCCGCGCGTCCGTCGCGGGAAGAGGGATGCGGCGAGACGCGGGCGCAGTCGGTCCATTTGTCACGGATACCGCGAATTAATTTTCTTCGCGCACATAGGTGTAACAATTACGCGAGCTCCCTCATCGGGAACGAGGCAATTCAGCTCCGGGGTAGCGGCGTGAATATCGCCGTCGCGGGGCGCGGGATCATTTAGAATCTCGGGTCCCGTATCCGCGCGCCGCGCCGTTGCATTTTGTTGCAATGATAATCGTAAACAAGTCACGCGCCGCCGCCGGATGCAATATTGATGGCGGAGAGGGCCGAGAGCACATCCGGACGGTGAATGAGCCTCTCCGCGGCGCCGATAATTAGATTGCTCGGATTTACGCGAATACCCAGCGTCAAAGAACTGCTTCTTTCCTATTCGCGTCGCGAAAATAAGCTACCCCGGTGTCGTTTGTGTTTCGAGAGGTTGCGCAAGCCACTCGAGAACCCGCGCGCGGGAGGGAAACGCACGTGGCATTCGTAATAACGCGCCTCCCTGGAAATCGATTGTGGATTCAGCTGAATTAGCTTGGCATTTCATTGGTCGTGGTTTTTTAATGAAGAGCATTATCGCGGGGACATTACGCGGTTATCTTGTTCGATGGATGGAATTTCGGGATGGATTTAGAGTTTAATGGAACGGCCTGTGACGTTCAGTTTTTCATCGCTTCGCCGGGTGACTTGTTAGATGTACGATTCTTTTTAACACGTTGAATGCCATGGGGGTCACCGGTGACCCCCAACCAAATCGGATTACTATAGTTCATTCAATGAAACGTTGATTATTTGAAAACAGTTCTATATTATAGATTATACTGTGGTGACGTTCAACTAAACGAACATGTAATAATAATACAATTCAATGAAATGATTTGATATTATATTTTTTCCATTTTGTGTATTTTGCTCTATGAAATCGTGCGTCGTTCAACGTGTTAATGGTATTATTTGTGATTGTGTGGGAATTTTAATGCCAGTGGTGTTGTGTGTATTTAATGTATTTCGTGTATTTAATGTTCGGTGAATTCTGAGTTATAGCAGTTGTGAATAGAAATTTTGATAAATTTGAAGTTAGAATCATTTTGAAGTTCTGATTCTAAGTGAAATGGATTCTGTAATGATTAGTTCTAAGTAAGATGGATCCTGTTATGATCAATTCTAAGTCGAATCAATTCTGTAACGACTAATTCTAAGGAAAGTGAATTGTGTAATGACCAATTCTAAGTAAAATGGATTCTGTAATGATCAATTCTAAGCCAAATCAATTCTGTGACGACTAATTCTAAGTAAAGTGCATCCTGCAATGACCAATTCTAAGTAAAATAAATTCCTTAATGACTAATTCTAAATAAAATGAATTCTGTAACGACCAGTTCTAAGTAAAATGAATTTCGGAATGACCAATTCGAAATAAAACGAATTCCTTAATGACTAATTCTAAGTAAAATGAATTTCGGAATGACCAATTCAAAATAAAATGAATTCCTTAATGACTAATTCTAAGTAAAACGAATTCTGTGCTGATCAATTCTAACTAAAATGAATTCTGTAACGATCAATTCTAAGTAAAACGAATTCTGTACTGACCAATTCGAAGTAAAATAAATTCCGCAATGACCAATTCTAAATAAAATGAATTCTGCAATGACGAATCCTAAATTATGATATTTACAATATCGTATACAACAATTATACACTGATTATATTTAAATGACACGAATTAACCCCAAAATTACAACAAAATCGCAACAACTCGACGCTATCTAGCAAATTCGTGCCTTTCCGCGCGACGACCGTACACAAAACACTCCCATTCTCGATTCCCTCCGCCGCGTAGAATCTCCCCGAACTCGGAGCAATTCAGCTCGCAGTTCAAACATCTCCGCGCCTCGTTCCGAGCCCGCACGGCTCGTCCCGCGAACGATTACCATCCCCGGGAAAATCTACACGCGCAATCACGTCTGCGTACGGCGAAGAAGAAGAAACAAAAAGCAGAAAGGAAGCGTTCCGCTATCCCCGCAGCCGCGGGAAGATTCTGCTCTATCGTCGCTCCCATTCCGCGAGGTAAGCCGCACTCGAACTTCCCCTTGGGGCGGCGTTTTATTGCCTAGACGAGCGACGAACTTTGATTCTTCCGAGCGGCGCGAGAAAAACTCCGGCGAATTTGCTAGAGCGAGGAGAGGGTAGACCGTGGAGGTCGAGGGGAAAGAAGCGAAGCAGAGCGACGAGACAAATGATAAGAGAAATAAAGATAGAGAAGCGTGGGGGGATTGAAATTGTGAGATACTGATAGAGAAATGGGAACGGAGGAGTGGGGATGGTGAAATAGGGACCGAGGAAGGGAGACGGGAATAGAGTCGGAGGAATGGGGACTGAGAAATAGAGGTAGAGAAATAAAGAAAGGAATGGAGACAGAAATAGGGACAGAGATATTGAGACAGAGAATTAGAGACAGAGGGTGAGAGGTCAGAGAAATAGAGATAGGAAATTGGAGGTGGGGAAGTGGAGACTGCAGAATAGAGAT